CCAAGCATTTGGGCCATCTTCTGCTGCTTTCTCAGGTGCATTAGCAGGGAGTTGAATGAGAAGCAGAACAACTGGAACTCAAACCAGTGCTCCAATATGGCATGGGATGCTGGCATTGCAAGCAGCAGCTTAACTTGTTGTGCCACAATACCAGTCCCTGCCTGTCGCTCCCCCTCTTCGTGGAGGAACGACACAGAACCCTGCGCTGTTCTTTCGTCTGCTCGGCCCTCCCCGGGTTTGCTGCTGGTTCTTCCCGGGTTGGCTACTGTCCCTTCCACCTCCGTGGAAGGGCGGTTCCCCCTGGCCACTTTCCCCACTTCCGCAGGGGAGCGGCACACCGCCGGCCGGCTCTCTCGGGGGCTGCACAGGTGTTCCCTCAAATGTTCCCCTTAGATGTTCCTGGTGCATGTTGTCTCTCTCCTCCTTTATAGTCCTCTTCCACCAATCCCAACTCTGCTACCCACACGCCGAGTACGCTGCTCTCCTCCAATCAGGAGCAGGTCCTGCTGTTTATTGGTTGAACTGGAGGCAGCTGTGTAGAAGCTGCTTCTCCCTTCTCAGCGCCATATTGTGGGAGAGCAGATGCATAGAATAAGTCTTAATTCCAGTAACTTAGTCTAGTCCAAGTTGCTCCCCACACCTGCCTACTCCTGCAATAGACTATGTGCTAAGGCTCTGGATTCAAATCAACTATACAATAAAATAATTCATTTTAAAACACTCTCTGCAAGTAGAAAAAAATAAAATTTTAATTAAGTTCAAGCTATCAGATTTATACATTCAAAGAATACCAAATAAGGCACATAATACATATTTAAAATAGTATCTTTATTCATATCTCAGATACAGGACATAAAGCATGGGGGATGGACACTGATCTTTGACAAAGAACATAAAGTAGGCTTGGCCCTGCCTGCGTTACTTCTCACTAAAACATTCCTTAATTATATTCACTAATCTTTACTGCCTTTCTTACTTACTTCTTCCAAAGAAGAATAAACAGAAATAGAATCTAAAATTATCAGCTACCGACGATTATGTAATGCCTAAAGGCAGGTTGATATCAATTCCAACAAAATGTTATTGAGCCAGCTACTTTGAAAAGCCTTGTTACTAAAATGATCTCCCAAAGCAGATGAGGATTAGGAAACACAAATAGTCACAAAGAAATCAATAGGGTGCAGGGCCGGCACTGTGGCACAGCAGGTTAATCCTCTATCTGCAATGGCAGCATCCCATATGAGCGCCAGTTGAGTCCTGGCTGCTCCTCTTCCAGTCCAGCTCTCTGCTATGGCCTGGGAAAAGCAGTAGAAGATGGCCCAAGTGCTTGGGCCCCTGCACCCACATGGGAGACCTGGAAGAAGCTCCTGGCTCCTGGCTTTGGATCAGCCCAGCCCCAGCCGTTGTAGCCATCTGGGGGGTGAACCAGGAATGGAAGACCTTTCTCTCTGTCTCTCCCTCTCACTGTCTGTAACCCTACCTCTCAAATAAAGGATAAATGAAATCTTAAAAAAATATATCAATAGGATGCTATCAAAAAGGAAAGAACAAAAGAAAAAAAAAAGAAAGTACTATGGGCACAGAAATTAAAAAACAAGAGTAATTAAAAGCAAATCAAAATGCAATGTCCAAATCATGAGAAATATGGAAAGACTGTATTTTTCAGCTTTCAGAATAATGATCAGAAAAGGGCGATTTGTGCAAAAAATGCACCTTCGCAAATAGGTCCTTACCTCCTTTTTTCTTTGAGGGGAACTCATTCATTCACATTTCTTAAACAACTTCAGTGTGCTAAACACTGTTCTAGTGCTGAAGTAGAGCAGCAAGGAAAATAAACACATAGGAACAAATCCCTGACTTGGCAGCTTGTATCCTATGTACGAGAGACAGTACACAAAAAGAGTATACAGAGGAAGTCAGGGATCTGCCATGGAGGGAGGAAGGGGGCAGGGAAAGCAAGGAGAGGGGATGAGAGAGTAATGGGGGACAAAATGGATGAGAGTAGGAGGTAAGACTTCACACTAAAGTTTCATGTGAGCTGAGGAGGAAGAAAAGCTAATCTGTTGGATCATCTGGGGGAAGAATGAAATACCAAGTGTAAAAGATCAAAGGACTATGTCTGGTCACATTCCAGAAATAACAAGGAAATCAGAGTGCTTGGAACAGATTGAACCATAAAGAAAGGGAATACCTGGAGATGGGAGAGAGAGGTGTGGGGTTCTAGCCATGCAGGGACTCATGGCCCTGTAAAGACTGGCCTTTATTCAGAGATGAAAAGCCAATACAGGGTGTTTGCTGTGTTTTTTTTGTTTTGTTTTTATAAGATTTACTTATTTATTTTTAAAGATTTATTTATTTATCTATTTATTTGAAGGGCAGAATGACAGAGAGGGAAAGACAAAGAAAGAAAGATCTTCTATCTGCTGATTCAATTCCCAAATGGCCAAGGCAGCCAGGTCTGGAGCAGCTAAAAACCAGGAACCAGGAACTCCGTTCTGGTCTCCCACACAGGCGGCAGTGGCCCAGGCACTTAGGCCATCTCCCACTGTCTTCCCAGGCAGGTCAGCAGTAGCTGGATTGGAAGCAGAGTAGCCAGGTCTGGAACTGATGCTCTGATACGTAATGCTAGTGTCACAAGTAGCAGCTTTACCCCCTGTACCAGGATGCTGGCCCCAGTGGGGGGTATTGAGCACAAGAATGATGATGATTCGCCTTACTTTTAAAAAGCAGCATTCTGTTGAGAGTAATAACCTTCCATCCTGTGCTACCTGGGAACCTCATACATGCCTCCACTGTTACAACTTGATGCTATGTTTTAATTTGTTGATCCTCTACTAGACTATGAACTCCATGAAGACATTCAGTGACTTACTCATAATAGATGATCAATAAATATTTGTTAAATATGAATAAACAGAATACTTTCAGTAAAGGTATAGGATGGGTGAGATAACAAGATAATTTATTTTCTCAACTACTTTAAAAAAGAACGATCAATAAGCACCAGATTAGGAAAGTTTACTGTTACCAAAAACATTAAAATAGATGTCATTGTAGCAATATTTTATATTTAAACTTTCAGACTAATGAATTCTATACTTATGACTATTACAGGCTAGGATGATATATGCTTAATTGAAGTTTTATTTATATGTCTCCAAATAAAACCCCCAGTTCTTGACTGCCATATTTAACATTAATACAAGTCAAGAACTAACAAACATTTGTTCTTCTATTAAGAACAGTTTACTCACTGATGTGGTCACATTCATATTATAAATGCCTGATGGAGAATGTTTATTTGGCTTAACAAATGGAATACAATACTTCTTAGTCTTCTCATCCACTCTGTAACAAAAAAAAAAATTAAGACAGAGCAGTAATTATTTTTTCAAGCACCAAATCAAGAGCCACAGCACCAAGTGTAATGCAGTTTAATCAGAATTAGATGCCTATTTTCAAATATCCAATGCACACAAATCTGTGAAACATCCTATCCCATATCACTACACTCATGCCTCCCACCTTGCCCCCCACTCCTAACATAAATTACCCTTCTTTCAGCAATATTCACAAAAGGAACTTTTCTGTACCACTACATGCTTACAGTCACACCATGCAGCACACCCTCAAATCACCTCTTCCTTTTCTTACGACAACCTCCTTTCACATTATCAGACCAAATGGTTGTAGATTCTCTTCACCTTAAACAATTACAACCATACTTCCTAGGACTCAGGTAAATTCTTTTGATCAAATACTAGTAATTTTCACCATACAAGCCAAAAAGTCTTTTGAAACAGTTATATGACAAAAATAAACTTCATACAGAGCAAAACAATGTGGATGAATGAACAAATACTTGTAATTTGCAAATATGTTCTTAAATAAATTTTAATTATATTTTCCCAATTCATACCTGTAACTCTGAACTCCTGGGATAGTCCCCATTCCAGAATTAATTCCAGGAGCAACTGCAGAAAGATTGTGCGTAAGGCGGGGAATGGCCATGCCTGGATTCCTTGTGTGATCCACACTGACATTGCTGCAGTCTCTGAGGCTTGTGGAAGGCACTGCTTTGATGTGGCTTGTCCCACTGTCATGGAGACAGCTGGCATTTGAGGCTCTATTGCCTTTGTCAACTTTTTCTCCATCAATTTTTGATCCTTTTATTTTAAATACTTTAGAATCCTTAAATTTGGAGTCAGCATTGGTATCCTGACCATTAATAAAAATGTTAAGGTTAGTAATCTGAGGAAGATGAAAAATCATCTCTTCCTAAAAAATACTTGTCAGCTAGAGCAGAAATTCACATATATCACCTTTTTGTGCTCATTTTCTTCATTCTTCCTGTAAAATTAAAATTAAACCCAGATTCTTACTCATTATTATAAAAATACAAAAAGACCAGAAATGCAATTCAAACTAACTCTGATACATGCATATACATACACATATAAATTTCAGTGGGAAAAACACAGGAGAGGTATCAAAAATGTCACTTATGTTCTTATGTACTCATAATCATCAAAACATAAAACTGAGAGCCCTTACTTCTTTCAGTTCACTTGATGGGAGGCACCTGGTGGTAGACTAGAATTACCTTAAAATGGACAGATTCTGAATAATTCACCAGGAAAAGCGAACTGAAAATACATATCCAGGGGCCAGCGCTGTGGCATAGCAGGTGAAGCTGCTGCCTGCAGTGCTGATATCCCATATGGGTGCCTGTTTGAGTCCTGGCTGCTCCAGTTCTGATCCAGCTCTCTGCTATGGCCTGGGAAAGCAGTGGAAGATGGCCCAAGTTCTTGGGCCCCAGCACCCACGTAGGAGACCCAGAAGAAGCTCCTGGCTCCTGGCTTCAGATAGGCTCATCTCTGACCTGTTGCGGCCAATTGGAGAGTGAACCAACGGATGGAAGACCTCTCTCTCTCTCTCTCTCTCTCTCTCTCTCTCTGCCTCTCTTTCTCTCTGTGTGTAATTCTGACTTTCAAATAAATAAATCTTAAAAAAAAAAAAACACAGCCAAATCTCAACTTCAAAACACTCTACTTTATATAAAATTCTAAAATTATACTTTTCTCTCATATCCTATAAGGAAAACAAGTGGAGTATGTGTGCATGTTTGTGTTCCTTGTGTGTGCACATGTGTGTGCACATGTGTGTGCACATATACATGAGTCTTGGTGGTTTTGGTTTCCTGACAAGCATGATTGCATAGTCTGGTAAGCAGCAAGCACTCAGAACATTATATGTTAAGTTTTCATAGCAGGTAATACATACAGAGAAGACATGTTTTTACGATGAAGGTAAAAATTAACAACTTGCTGACCACTCAAAAAACTTTAAAAAGTCTTCATTTTTTCCCTTAAATTTAAAATTCAAAACATATACATTTACCTGTACCACTAGTGTTTTTCTTTCTTCGCCTAAGGAATCATCCTTTTCCTTTTCCTTCTTTCTGTTCTGGGATTTTTTAGATAAAGATATATTTCTGGCATCTTTCTGTACTTTCATCTGTAGTTCCTGAGAAAACCTACATAAAAATGCATTTGTCAATAAATAAATTGGATGAGACAGATAAGCCTATGCAATATTTGAATTTCAAGATTGTTATTTTTAAAATTTGAGTGCAAAACTGGGCTGTGTTATTTAAAATGGGAAAAGTCATGACCCGGATTAGCAGTTCCAAAACAGCAATCTGAAAACCTGTGGGGGATGCCTGGAAACCTTCCAGGAGGTCAGTAAAGACCAAACTGTTCTTAAAGAGATGCTGTTCTCTTCACAATGTGGCACTTGCACTCCGTACCAAAGCAATGAGGGCACCTTACCAAGAATCCAAGCAGTGACATCAAACTGAACTACAAATATTGTTTTCTTCATAGCCACGTATTCTCAATTTTCTTTAAAAAAAAAATTTTACTTAAAAATGTCCCTGATAGTAGTAGTAGTAAAAAGGTATTGATTTTTACCAAAGTTACACACTTTTTCACATTCTGGGTGACAAAATGAGAGCATGAGTACATCTGCTACAAACCAAAGTGCATTGGTTGTCTTAAGGAAACACTTGTGTTATTGTTTGCAAAACTAAAACTATTTGCATGGAACAGCATTTTTATTTGAAAGAGTGGCATAAAAACTATGATTATATTATAATATGTGGGGCAATTGGCAGTCATTTTCCTTTTAAAAATAAACAAAGTGTGCTAGACACTCAAGGAAAACAAGAGGTAACATTTGTGTCAAAAATAAAATTCAAAATTCTATGCAAAAATTAGAATTCTGTTAAACTTGGGCTTACCACTGTGATTCTAACAGGTTCCTAATACTTTCCAAGACTTTCCTGATGAGCTAGAGTGTGATCTTTTGATACTAAAAAAATGATGGTAAATATGTAAACTTTTTTTTTTTTTTTTTGGACAGGCAGAGTGGACAGTGAGAGAGAGAGAAAGGTCTTCCTTTGCCGTTGGTTCACCCTCCAATGGCCACCGCGGCCGGCGTACCGCGCTGATCAGAAGGCAGGAGCCAGGTACTTATCCTGGTCTCCCATGGGGTGCAAGGCCCAAGTACTTGGGGCCATCCTCCACTGCCTTCCCTGGCCACAGCAGAGAGCTGGCCTGGAAGAGGGGCAACCGGGACAGAATCCGGCGCCCCGACCGGGACTAGAACCCGGTGTGCCAGCACCACAAGGCGGAGGATTAGCCTAGTGAGCCGCGGCGCCGACCGTAAACATTTTTTTAAGATTTGGTAGCCACATTGTAGTGTAGCAAGTTTACCCTCTGCCTGCAATGCCAGCATCCCAAATGGGCATTGGTTCCAATCCTGCCTGCTCCACTTCCAATCCAGCTCCCTGCTAATACACCTGGGAAAGCAACAGAGGATGGCCCAAATGCTTGGGCCCCTGCACCCACATGGGAGACTAGGAAGAAGAGCTGCTGGCTTCAACCTAGCCCAGCCTCAGTCACTGCGGCCATTTGGGAAATGAACTAGCAGATGCAAGATCTCTCTCTTTGTCTTTTTTTTTTTTTTTTTTTTTTTTGACAGGCAGAGTGGATAGTGAGAGAGAGAGACAGAGAGAAAGGTCTTCCTTTTGCTGTTGTTTCACCCTCCAATGGCCACCGTGGCCGGCGTGCTGCGGCCGGCGCACCGCGCTGATCCGATGGCAGGAGCCAGGTGCTTCTCCTGGTCTCCCATGGGGTGCAGGGCCCAAACACTTGGGCCATCCTCCACTGCATTCCCTGGCCACAGCAGAGAGTTGTCCTGGAAGAGGGGCAACCGGGACAGAATCCGGCACCCTAGAACCCGGTGTGCTGGCGCCACAAGGCGGAGGATTAGCCTATTAAGCCGCGGTGCCGGCCCTCTTTGTCTTTCCTCCTCTCTCTGTCACACTTTCAAATAAATTTTTTTTTTTTTTTGACAGGCAGAGTGGACAGTGAGAGAGAGAGACAGAGAGAAAGGTCTTCCTTCCGTTGGTTCACCCTCCAATGGCCGCTGCAGCCGGCACACCACGCTGATCCGAAGCCAGGAGCCAGGTGCTTCCTCCTGGTCTCCCATGCGGGTGCAGGGCCCAAGGACTTGGGCCATCCTTCACTGTACTCCGGGGCCACAGCAGAGAGCTGGACTGGAAGAGGGGCAACCGGGACAGAACCGGCGCCCTGACCGGGACTTGAACAAGGTGTGAGCCGCGGCACCGGCCTCAAATAAAATTTTTTTAAAATCTATTAAAAACATTTTTAAGATTTATATAATCCATAAAACTAGTATTTTCCAAATTATTTTGCATGATGCTTCAAAAGAATTCATGGGGGACCAGCATTGTGGCGTAGCGGGTTAAAGGGTCGTCTGTGATGCCAACATCTCATAAGGACACTGGTTTGAGTCCTGGCTGCTCCACTTCTGATCTAGCTCCCTGCTAATGTGCCTAGGAAAGGAGCAGAAGATGGCCCAAGTGGCTGGGTCCTGCATCCATGTGGGAGACCTGGATGAAGCTCCTGGCTTCTCCCCAGTCTAACCCTGGCTGTTGCAGCCATTTGGAGAGTGTGCCAGCTAATGGAAGATCTCTCTGTCTCTCTCTTTGTCTCTGTGGGTGTCTCTCTCTCTAATTCTGCCTTTCAACTAAATAAATCAAATTTATAAAAACATTTATGTTTCTAAAAGAGTATGCATGAGTAAAAGACATGTTCAAAAGGCAAGACAGATAAAAGGATTTTAATCTAACAGAGGAAGAAAAATTCATTGATAAAATTTCTGATTCCTCAGTGTGACCACACTTTAAGAAAATACTGTCAGAGGTTTGGTTTAGAATTGAAGAAGAATATCCACAATTATCTTTAAAAATCTATTTAATAATACTCTTTCATTTTCTAGCTATGTATATTCGTGAGGCCAGAGTTTCTTCATATATTTCAATTAAAAAAAACACTGTATCAACACTCACCGAGTACAGATATAAATATGAGATACCAGCTGCCTTTTATTAAGCTAGATACTGAAGACATTTGCAAGGATATAAAGCAATGTCACTACCACTCATCTCACTATTTTTATTTTGTCTGTCGAACTGTTGCCAGCAACTGAGCAGCACAAAAAACCATGCCAGCAGCTGTGGCAACCGCAGGTTTGGCCCTTTAAGGTCTCTGGCACATTGCAGTGTCAGCATCATAAGACTTAGTGTAGTGTAACTTTGGCAGCAACAGGAGATGCACTTTTGCAATAGCACTGGTACCCAACATGATGGCATCACACAGGTGGTAGCAACACAGAAATAAGTGATTGAAATGGCAGATGTCACTACCGGGAGACAGAAAGAAAAGCATGAATTCCTCTTTCATGAAAAACAAGGCCATGAATGTATAAATGTAGGAGACTGATCCCTGGGAGCTGCATTATTGTTAAGGGTGGAGGAAGCACATCTAAGGTTTTTTCTACCTGCCCCTCTTCAGTACAGGGATGGTTGGCTGCTCAACACACTCCTCCTCCCCCTTTTCCTTTCTTTAAACTGTGTACAGTGAAAATTGTCTTTACTGTATTTTTGTTCTCTGGTAATGTAATAAGCATGATGGTGCCTTCTATTAATACATCATTCCAGTCTTGCTGGTAATTTTGTACAGTATAGTGTATGAATTGCTGTGCTGCAAAGCCAAACAGCTGCAAAAAATCATTTAAAGTATATAAAAATTGCAGTATCTTTAAAATAAAAAAAAAAGGGTGGATGAAGCAGGGCAGATACTTGAGATCTTGCAAAAGTATGTAGGAACAGAAATAGGGTAAATGCTGTCTGTGACTGATCTGGAAGTCTTCCTTAACTCTAGGTTGGAGTGACGTAGAAAACCTGGGTCAGTACCATACCGCTCAGCAAATCCATCCATCTGAAAGAAATCATGGTGTAGGAGCTCAGCACAGAAGGGCCTTTTGTCTGGGTCAACATGTAAGCATTTCTGAAAAACCAAGAATACACATAGTTCATACCCAAGAAAAACTGCCTGTATTTAAATTGCTAAAAATAGAAAATTCTTTATAACCAATGAATTTTAGACATTTCCAACCAAGGATAAAGAAAAAGCACAAACCTAAATGATGATATCAATCACTGCTAATATCACACACACACAAAAAGACCACCAGACATTTACTGTCTCTACATGGAAATATACAAACCTCCTATGAAGCAGTCTGATTCTAGTCAGGTTTCAGCTCTATTATGAGATTATAAGAAACACGGTACACAGAGGAACATGTTAAACTACATCATATGGACAGTTCTATGAGATGAACCACTTAGTTTCATTAACAAATAAACTGCAAGGTTTAAACAAAAAAGAGATGAAGAAGAGATGATAAACTGTCTTAAAAGGCAAATCAACAAACTGGGATCCACAGTTTTCATCTGGATCTTAACGGTAAGAAGAAGTGATGTGAAAATCAATGAAATATGGAATATCGATTAGACAAAATATTAAGGAATTGCTGTAAATTGTTAACATCTTTATTCATTATTTCCACTTTATTTGAAATGTAGAGAGACAGAAAGAGAAATCTTCCATTCTCTGGTTCACTCCCCAAATGCCCACAACAATCATGGCTGAGCAAGGCCAAAGCCAGAAACACAAAACTCAATCCAGGCATCCCAAGTGGATGTCAGGGACCTAGGTACTTGAGCCATCATCTGCTGCCTTTCAGGTTGTGCAATAGCAGGAAGTCAAATAGTAGAAACTGAGCTAGGCCCTCTGATTTGAGATACAGGCATCCCTTAAGCCACTGCTCCAAACACCCTCCCCTATTGTGAATCTTTAAAAGTCAAAATCATCGCCGAATAGAAGGGAAAGAACCTATGACAGAACCTACACTGTGCTTATTAATGGGCTACATACTTTAGCAGATATTAATTCATGGTCTTGCTGTGATTTATTGAAATCCTCTCAATGCCAGCAAAAACAGACAGGATTCAATAAGTTGCTTTAAATGAACAGAAAACTTTCTATGTGTTATTGTACACTTTCACTATGTAAGTGAACTGATATAATGTCTGGGATTTGCTTCAAAATACTCTTGAAAAAGTTGAAAGTAGTATGGATAGACTAAGGATTATCATCTGTTTTCTATTCTATGTTGAAATTTCTATAACAAAATGCTTAAAACGTTGTATGATTCTACTGAAGGGATACATGTTGGACAACAGCTTTTTAGGTTTATTTTCTTAAATCCCTTTACAGATATACCATAAAGCAAGCCACAATGAACAGTATTTCATCTATTACAAAATTTTAGAAAAGTAGAAATATATTAATCAAAGAATTTGTTATAATTAGTTACAAGTTTACATTTTTCCCATGAGTTAGGGAAAGCAAAAAAAAAATCTTGATTAAACAGTATATAATCCAGGTGTTTTAGAGATAATTATTTTTAAATATTTTTAGAAAACTTTTATTTAATTAATATAAATTTCAAAAGTACAACTTTTGGATTATAGTGGTTTTTCTCCCCATAACCTCCCTCCCACCCACAAACCATCCCAAGAGATAATTATTTTTATCAATACCCTGGGTAACCCTAACTAATGAGAAATTTTTGAGCTAATAATCCTAAAAGGGCAACTTTTGGAGACAACTTGATTCAAGTGAAAATTTCCCAAACATCTTCCTTAGTCAAATACAAAACAAAGGGCTGACACTATGGTATAGTGGGTAAAGCCACCACCTGCAGTGCTGGCATTCCATATGGGTGTCAGTTCAAGTCCCAGCTGCTCTACTTCTGATCCAGCTCTCTGCTGTGGCCTAGGAATGTAGTGAAAGATGGCCCAAGTGTTTGGGCCCCTGCACCCACATGGGAGACCTGGAAGAAGCTCCTGACTCCTGGCTTTGGATCAGCCTAGCTCTGGCTGTTGCAGCCATTTGGGGAGTGAACCAGCATATGGAAGACCTCTTTCTCTGCCTCTGCCTCTCTGTAACTCTGCCTCTCAAATAAATAAATAAAATTTTTAAAAAGATACAAAAAAGTAATGTGTATTTATAAAACAGCTTCAGCACATCCAGTGGCTAAGCAAAAGCCTCCTTGACAACATACTACAGGTCACAACCCTAAGTCTTATCATTAGTATTTTCTACTTTATCCTTCTTTTCATTTTCTTGTCCTACTTTTCTTCTCTGTTCCATTTACACAAAACTTGCATTTTAAATGTTAAGCATTAAAAATACTGCATTTTTATGTGTTTGATGAGGATGTTTTCACAGTTAAAAGATGCTACATGACACTAAATGGTTTCTTTTTTTTTTTTTCTTTTTGACAGGCAGAGTGGATAGTGAGAGAGAGAGAGACAGAGAGAAAGGTCTTCCTTTTGCCGTTGGTTCACCCTCCAATGGCTGCCACGGCTGGTGCACTGCGGCCGGCGCACCGCGCTGATCCGAAGGCAGGAGCCAGGTGCTTCTCCTGGTCTCCCATGGGGTGCAGGGCCCAAACACTTGGGCCATCCTCTACTGCACTCGCGCTGATATGAAGGCAGGAGCCAGGTGCTTCTCCTGGTCTCCCATGGGGTGCAGGGCCCAAGCACTTGGGCCATCCTCCACTGCACTCCCTGGCCACAGCAGAGAGCTGGCCTGGAAGAGGGGCAACCGGGACAGAATCTGGCGCCCCAACCGGGACTAGAACCCGCTGTGCCGGCACCGCTAGGTGGAAGATTAGCCTATTGAGCGCCTATTGAGCCACGGCCGACTAAATGGTTTCTTAGTGAACTTCAACGTAGATCAGATTCTCAGGCCTTTGTCTCTGAAGTACCCACACCCCAGCATCACCATCAAATTATCTAAACTCTTCCTTTTTGTGCAAAAATTAAAATATTGAGAGGAAATCGCTAACTTACAAGATAACTAGACAAGAAAAAGAGAAAGCCAAGTCTCTATAACAGATATGCTCCCTGTCAGAAAGTGACAAGAGGGGCCGGCGCTGTGGTATAGCTGGTTAAGCCTACTTCAAATCCTGGATGTTCCACTTCAAATCCAGCTCCCTGCTGCTGGCCTAGGAAAGCAGTGGAAGACGGCTCAAGTGCTCGGGCCCTTGCACCTATAGGAGACCTGGAAGAAGTACCTGGCCTCCAATTGGCCTGGCTCTGGCCATTGCAGCCATTTGGGGAGTGAACCAGCAGATGGAAGACCTTTCTTTCATCTCCCTCTCTCTGTCTGTAGCTCTGCTTCTCAAATATATAAATAAATCCTTGAAAAAAAAAAAAAGTGACAAGAAAGAGTAGGATTACCTTTGCTAAATCTATCACAACTTCTGAGAGCTTGGGATAGCGTCTTTCAAGAGGTTCTGATTCCTTGATTTCAGGCAACCTTACTCCAGCAAACACAGGATTTTTATAAAAAAGCTCCTGGTGTCTTGGAATTAGATTACCTGTAAGTGAAAACAGCACATACTCTGTCAGCACAAAACATGACAGGAACAGGGAAGAGACAGGTGCAGTGGAGTAGAAGAAACAGTGGAGCTTGGGGGCTCTCAGTATGCAAAATTAATCAAAGACAATGCTGCTACTGTCATGGAAAATGGCAGTTTTTACGGTGGCTTTGACTCATTTAGAAAAGTTCACACACTGCTATAAATAGAACTGAAGGAAGGGAGCCTAAGAAAAGGACTGGTAAAGACCATTTTTATAACTTTCCAGATGTCAGTACCAGCATTTATTTCTTTTTTTTTTTTTTTTTTTTTTTTTGACAGGCAGAGTGGACAGTGAGAGAGAGAGACAGAGAGAAAGGTCTTCCTTTGCCATTGGTTCACCCTCCAATGGCTGCCGCAGCCAGCACGCAGTGCTGATTCGAAGCCAGGAGCCAGGTGCTTCTCCTGGTCTCCCATGGGGTGCAGGACCCAAGCACCTGGGCCATCCTCCACTGCACTCCCTGGCCACAGCAGAGAGCTGGCCTGGAAGAGGGGCAACCAGGACAGAATCCGGCGCCCCGACCGGGACTAGAACCCAGTGTGCCAGCACCGCAAGGCAGAGGATTAGCCTAGTGAGCCGGGGCGCCGGCCAGCATTTATTTCTAATACAGTGTAAAATGCTGACCAAAGCAATATAAACAGTCATGTGGATAGAATCTAATCTTGATAAAACAATTCTATCCTTTAAGAATTTAATTTTGGGGGCTGTAGGCTAAGCCTTGGCCTACAGCGCTGGCATCCCATATGAGTGCCAGTTTATGTCCCAGCTGCTCCTCTTCGGATCCAGCTCTCTGCTGTGGCCTGGGAAAGCAGCTGAAGATGGCCCAAGTGCTTGGGCCCCTGCACCCGTCAGAGAGACCCGGAGGAAGTTTCTGGCTCCTGGCTTCAGATCAGCCCAGCTCCTGCTGCTGTGACCATTTGGGGAGTGAACCAGCAGATGGAAAACCTTTCTCTTTCTTTGTCTCTCTGTCTGTAACTCTACCTCTCAAATAAATAAACAAGTAAACTTTTTTTAAAAAAATAATTTAGCTTTTGGGAGATGAGCATTTACCACAGTGGTTAAGTTGCCATCTGGGGCATCTGTATATTGTATCAGATTGCCTAGTTCAAGTCCTAGCTTCTCTCCTGTTTCCAGCTTCCTATTAATGTGCTCACTGGAGACAGAAGGTGATACCCCAAGTATTTAGGTCCCTATCCTGCACATGGGAGACCAGGATTGAGTTCTGGGCTCCTAGCTTCAGCCTGACCCAGCTTTAGCCTTTGCAGACATTTGGGGAGTAAACCAGTGGGTGGAAGCTCTCTCTCCATCTGTGTGTGTGTGTGTCTAACTTTCTCTCTCTGGCTTTCAAACAAAATGAAAATTAAAAAAAATCTTTTAAAGGATTTAATTTTTGGTGAACTCATTTGCTACCTGTATCTAAAGTCAGATTTGAGCATTTTATTTTTTTTCTCAACTTTAATGCCTACTTTATATATGAAAATTCTATGATAAGAAATCATGGTACTATTTATTGAATTTCTAACATGGAAGCCTAAAATCAAATAATTAAATTAAGCTCAAGTAGTTTCCCATTATTTCCATCTTCCAAATTCTATCTTTGAACACGAAGTTGACTTTCAACAAATTTAAGGCCTTGATTGCCTAATTTTGAAAATTTTATATAAAGCACTAACCACAAAAGTCAAACCTGAAGCAAGATTAAACCACCTTGGAAGTCTTCTGTCCCTCACTCATCTTGAGGGCTAATAACAGTCACACTACACCAAATGCTTACTGACTCAAAGATAATAAACAATCATTTGCATGCTTTCTCTCTTATCTGATTAACTAAATGTAAAAGTGTAAAGAATATACAATCTCTGCTTTTTAAAAAAAAGTAAGTATTTTATGTGAAAGGCAGAGACAGAGGGAGAGAAAGAGAAATATAGAGAGAACTCTTCTATCCACAGGTTCACTTCTCAGTTGCCCACAAGGATATGCCAGGCTGAAGCCAGTCAGGAACTCCTCCTGGGTCTTCCACATGGGAGCAGGGGACCAACTGCAACCACTTGCTGCCTCCAGGCCAGATAGAAAGCACAGAATAGCCCGGACTAGCACTCGGATATTGGATGTTTACAGGCATTCCAAGCAGCGTCTAAACTCACTCTGCCAAAATGCCCACCTCAATCTCTGCTATTTTCTTCTCTGTTGATGAGGTAAGGGAGGGGGTGAATGTGATTAAGAACACATGTATAGTGGCTGCACTGTGCTGCAGCCAAGTAAGCCACAGTCTGGGACTCTGGCATCCCAAAACAGAGTTTGAATTCAAGTTCTGGTTGCTCCATTTCCGATTCAGCTCTGTGGTAATCAACTAGGGAAACAGGGGAAGCTGGCCCAAGTACCTGGGCCCCTGCCACCCACATGGGAGACCTGGATGGAGTTCCTGGCTCCTGGCTCCTGACTTCCACATGGCTCAGCCTGACCTTTGTGGTTATTTGGGGAGTCAACCAGCAGACAGATAGATCTCTCTCTCTCTCTGTTTGTCTCTCCCTCTATCTCTCAGTCAAATAAACAAATAAGTCTTTAAAAATAGAACATATGTATATGCACTAACATCTGAGGGTTTTTTCCCCTATTTTCTTCCTATCTTCACTTAACACATGTATCACTGTTAATATACCAGCAGCTTAAGAATCAACACAAACAAATGTACACAGAGGAAGAACACAGCTGAAATTTCAAACGCAAGTATGTGATCTTACCTAAACACCTCATAATAAGATAAAGCTGATCAATATCAGAGTCTCCAGGAAACAGGGGTTCCCCCATGAGCATTTCAGTTACCAGACAACCAATGGCCCACACATCCACAGCTCTGAAAGAAAAGCAATGAGATATAAAATCTGGCATCCTAATATATTTACAATGACTACATTTGTTCTGCATATTACTAGTTGGCATTTTTGGTATTGAAAATAGTAGTAGTATGCCTTAAATTACCTATAAAAGACATTTCCAATTTCACCTAAGTGAGATTTCCAAAAACTTCAATCATGCGTTATAAGAAAGAAAAGGCTTTTGAAAAGCCAAAATAGTTTTTATGTGTACTTTAAGCTGGAAGTAAGATTCTCAGGTTTCCATTTAGAGCTTAATCTTTCCTTTTTTTAGACACAGTCCTAACAAGGATCAGTCTATTCCACGGCACACTGAGAAAGGCAAACTAGAGAACAGAGGTGGTTGTTGAGGACAGCTAGAATAGAAAAAAAAAAAAAAAAGCTTAGGGATAAATTTGAAAACTCTCTTAAAAATCAATAAGAACTCAAAATATGATGGTGTCATTTAGCACAGGGACATCAACCTTGAAATTACTTAAGGTCATTGCTGAATTATAAAATGATACAAAAATTATAGCATGGTAATAAATTAGAACTCAGAAAAATCAAGGAAATAGTAAAGAATGTTTAATGTACTCTGAAAATATAATAATTATATAAAAACTTTAGAAAGATTTCTATCAAAGGCAGCAAAAGTTATAATCCATTTTTCTTTTTTAAAGATTTATTTATTTATTTGTATAGTAGAGTTACAGAGAGAGAGACAGAGAGAGATCTTCCATTCGCTGTTTCACTCACCAAATGGCCACAACTGCCAGATATAGAGCTAGGATATAGCCGATATAGAGCTAGGAGCCAGGAACTTCTTCTGGGTCTCCCACATGGATGCAGGGGTCCAAGCAGTTAGGCCATCTTCTGTTGCTTACCCAGGTGCATTACTAGGGAGCTGGATCAGAAGAGGAACAGCTGGGACTTGAACTGGCACCCACATGGGATGCCAGCTATGTTGGCAGTAGCTTAACCCACTGTACCACCACTCCAGCCCCCATTTTTCTTTGAATTCATTTATGAAGATAATTTGTGTTTTTAAAATACTTCTAACCTGGGGCCAGAGCTGTGGCATAGCAGGTTAAGCCACCACCTGCAAAGCCAGTATCCCTTATGAGTGTGGGTTTGAGACCCGGATGCTCCACTTCCAATCCAGCTCCCTGCTAATGCACCTGGGAAAGCAGCAGAAGATGGTCCAAGTGCTTGGGCCCCTGCACCCATGTGGGACATCCAGAAGAGGCTTCTGGCTCCTGGCTTCGGCCTGGCCAATTCCTGGTTGGTGTGGCCATTTGGGAAGTGAACCAGCAGATTGAAAATCTCTCTCTCTCTCCCTCTCCTTCTCACTGTATCTCTTGCAAGTAAAAAATCTTAAAAAAAAAAAGAAATACCTTTAACCTTGCCTGCTTTACCTTGCCTCATTCTAACAGTGTCAGCCTTTTTTCATCAATGTTAACCTCTCTTTACAAGTGATAAAAATATCTATTTCCAACTTACAATTTAAAAAAATCACTTATTTAATTTCCCTTTTAAAATAAGTATACTCACCCTAACTTGTTGCTTAAGAATGTTTAAAGGAGAAACACCAAAAATGACTAAAAATCTCTTTATAAAGTTCCCTAAACTCAAACTTTCCTTTCAGGGTTAGAGGGACCATTTATTATATTATAAACAAATCCCAGACTTAAAGTCTGCTCCCTTGTATTACTGGTGTCTTACTTGCCATACTTGACATCACCAACCAGTAGTTCTGGAGCTCTGTACCATCGAGTTGCCACATAATCAGTGTAAACCTCTCCGGGAGCTGCCAGTGTCCGTGCAAATCCAAAATCACATAACTTGACAACGCCAGACTGGGAGACCAATATATTCTCTGGCTTTATATCTCTATGTATGATCTAAGACAAAAGGCAGAAGACAAAATATCCGACATAAAATTCATCACTTTTCAGCACTTGCCATGTATAGGGCAGCTTTCTGTCCCTGCAAAGAATACAAATAAAGTACATAAAAATTGTCCCCAGCTTTAAATAACCTAGGAGCTGGCTGGGCAAGAAAGAACATTCATGCTTGAAATTTTGTTTAAATACTCAAAGATAAAGGGAAAAATAATATAAAGTTGTCCTTCCGTATCCATGGGAGATTGGTTACAGGACTCCCAATGGATTCTGAAATCTGAAATGCACAAGTCCCTTATAAAAATGGCGTATTATTTGCATATGAACTCTGCACATCCTCAGGGGGCCAATTTTATAATTAATTACCAAATCAACTACTGGTTAAAGACTACTTTCAAAACTAAGAGATTAAGTTATCATTAAAGAATGAGAATGTTCAAGAAAAATTTTTATGAAAAGTGGTAGGCTTGGGGGCCAGCGCCATGGCTCACTTGGTTAATCCTCCGCCTGTGGCGCCAGCATCCCATGTGGGCACCGGGTTCTAGTCCTGGTTGCTCCTCTTCCAGTCCAGCTCTCTGCTGTGGCCCGGGAGGGAGGTGGAGGATGGCACAGGTACTTGGGCCCCTGCGCCCGCATGGGAGACCAGGAGGAGGCACCTGGCTCCTGGCTTTGGTGCAGCGCCGGCCATAGCGGCCATTTGGGGGGTGAACCAGAGGAGGGAGGACCTTTCTCTCTGTCTCTCTCTCTCTCACTGTTATAACTCTGTCAAATTAAAAAAAAAAAAGAAAAGGGGTAGGCTTAGGGCCAGTGCTGTGGCGTAGCAGTGCTGGCATCCCATATGGGTGCCAGTTCAAGTCCCAACTGCTCCACTTCTGATCCAGCTCTCTGCTATGGCCTGGGAAAGCAGAAGATGGCCCAAGTCCTTGGACCCTTGCACCGGTGTGGGAGACCTGGAAGAAGCTACTGGCTCCTGGCTTCAAATCGGTACAGCTCCGGCAGTTGCAGCCAAACAGGGAGTGAACTAGCGAAGGAAGACCTCTCTCTCTCTCTCTGCCTCTCCTTCTCTATGTAACTCTGACTTTCAAATAAATAAAAACTTAAAGAAGGGAAGGGAAGGGAAGGGAAGGGAAGGGAAGGGAAGGGAAGGGAAGGGAAGGGAAGGGAAGGGAAGGGAAGGGAAGGGAAGGGAAGGGAAGGGAAGGGAAGGGAAGGGAAGGGAAGGGAAGGGAAGGGAAGGGAAGAGGGGAAAAGGGGTAGGCTCTAAGGTAGGTCTTTTATCTCAGCTGTAACATGCATAAATGTAGAAACATAAGGGGAATGCAAGTGAATGCAACAGGGAAACCACGAGTGGAGATGGAAATATTTCAAGAAACTGTTGGGATTGGGAGTAGGATCTAGAGGAAGGTTGGATAATGGGTACCAACACAGAGATAGAAGGAAGACATGGAGTGACCACGGTGGAGTAACTACAGTTCATAAGAGCCTACTATATATTATGAAGAACTAGAAGAGAGGAGCTCCAAACATAAAGAAATGATAAGGAGATGGAAATGCTAATTATATTGATTATCAGTACACATTAAATGTCTTGGAATATCACATTGTGTCCCATAAACATGTGTACACTGCTACATGTTAGTAAAAAATATGTAGAAAACCCTTGTGGGATGTGAAAAAGTAAATTTAAGTTTTTAAAGGAAACTATGGGGAAATGTATTTAGACTACAGGTTGTATGACAGGGAGGAAGGCTGCCTCACCTCCAGCCTGGGAAGTGAGAGCTTGTGTCACAGCCCTGGAAAGCCACGGACATGACATGACCAGTGTGGAGGTTAAAGATGTTGGTCATAAACAAACTGAAACAGAGAGAAGGACTACAGGCAAGGAGAGCAGTGGGCCAACTATGAGATGACACAGGTTCAAACTAGGCCAGTGATGGAGGAATGTACAGAAGGAGATACGGTTTGGAATCATTTTTGAGATCAACAGAGTTCAGGAGTAATCTCAGATATTTTATTTCAACCTGAGAAAAGAAAAAAAAATGGTGGTTCTATTACCAAAAATAGAGAATTCTTTACAATGTTTATTTTGAAGGAATCATTAGTTAAGTTTTAGCTATATGAGCTTTGGATGGAGTGCTGAGCACCCAAAGAGAGGTATCCATCAAGCCGTCAGAGATGTAAAGAGGGTTAAAAAAAAGTCATGGGTTAAGATTTCTAAAGAAGAGACTCAAAGAAGAAAACAGGATTCTGGGATAGAGACAAGGTTAAAAATTCCACACGTAGGTAAAACAAATTATTGCACCAAATTCTCTAATATGAGTAAGTTGTATTTCAAAATTTTTAAAAATTTGTTTTCAGTCTTTTCAGAAGACTAAACGGCAGTCTGTCATTGATGAGAGTGTTTCATAGGCTACCCACTTTTACTGTGAAGACACAGGTCCAATTCCAGATCACCTGTGCTGGCACAGAAAGGGTTGAATTGGAATTTGAGAGACTTGGGCACTAGTCTCAGGTTTTCAGTACAGCCTTAGACAATGCAATATTTCTGGATCTATCTTTTCATTTGCCAAATTAAAGGGATAAAGTACATGACTGCCATGCTCCCTCCTAACTAATACTCATGATTTCTGGTAACAACAGAACCTAAGCATAATCAAGATGATAGGAACAAAATTTTTTACTAAAAGCTATCACTGCAGACTTGGGGGGGGAGTGCAAAGAAAGTTTTACAAACAGGATAGGCTCTGACATGGATCTTTAATATTAGGTATGACCTAAATAAACTATCACACTTACTAATTTCAGCAAAAAAAAATTTTAGGAGTATCAACAACCACAAAATTTCCCATATAATTGGGTCAAACTTGAAATGACAGCAAACTTAAATTTGTTTTTAAATATATTTACTGAGCCTAACTCACAAAAAGCTTAAATGATATTTTAAATTATTGAAATCCAAGTATTCACAGAGATACATGCACAAATGAATAATGTATAATAATAACAATGCAATAAACATTTTGATTTTCTTAAAAGTCAGACATTTCATCCTATATGCATATGTGTATGTAGATTTTTATGTACACAAGTGTGTTTCACCATTCCCCACCATAATATCTCTGCTTTAAGAATAGAAATAACTAGGGCCAGTGTTATGGTATAGAAGGTTAAGTCACTGCTTGTGATGCCAGCATCCCATATCAGGAGTGCCAGTTTTTGAGTTTTGGTTTCTTTGCTTTCAGCTAATGTGTCTGGGAAGGCACTGCAGGATGGCCCTTGTACCTGGGCCTCTACCACCCACATGGGAGGCCAGGATGGATTTCCTGGCTCCTGGCTTTCGTATGGCCCAGTCCTGTCGCAGCCCTTTCAGGAGTGAACCAGCAAATGGAAGGTCCTTCTCTATGTGTATGTGTGTGTGTCTCACCCTGTCACTGTGCCTTCCAAACAAATAAATAAATCTTTTTTAAAAATAGAGTAGAAATAACTGCCCAGAAAACAAAACCTTAGGATATATTTCATTAATATTAGTAACAGCAACATAGCTAACACTTGATCATTTACATTTTGAGTACCATTCTACATGTTTTATGTTTTAACTTCCTCTATCTTCATACTAACCCTATGAGATATATTTCATTGTTATCTCCATTTAACAGTGGGATAGGAGTGAGGATTGGAGAAGAGCTCTGAGAGGTTTGAGGGAAAAAGTGCTATGAAATCATAATCTAGGAGAGTTTGAGAGCACATGGGCCAGGAAAAAGTAGTGTAACTGTAAGGCAACACAGAAGCTCCTTTGAGGTAACTGATCATAAATTATTAGAGTAAGATCAGTTCTCTCCCCATAAAATACTCACATTTTATATGGTTTAAAGAGATATATGAATGCTCTGCATGGAGCTACTTGGTATTAAATCTACTGCTTTAAAGACAGAATGGCACTCATGCCAGCAGCATTTGACTCCACAGTGCCTGCATGTAATAGAAGATCTAAAGTTGGAATGGGTTACTAAATACGGGTTGATTAGTTATGAAAGTATAAAATATATGTGTATATATATATATGTCATAAAAGTATAAACTATAAAGGGACACAGGAGCAAACATAGGCAGGACACATTCAAATATTCTTCAATAACGAGAAAAATCAGACTTTTTTGTCTACTGAATCCATCGGCAAGTCTGTCCTTCGTGTGGAGTTTAAACCCCTGACTTCAAAAGTACAGGCCCATGAGGATGACAGGCTTATGCTTTTTATGAGGAGCCCGAATCAGTGCCACTGAGTATGTGATTCAGTCACATCTCATACTAGGCTGAGTCTCTGCCCACTCCACATTATTATATTTTACATATTCTATCTCTGTAAACAGTGATTTTTCTTTCTAACATATAAACTGGCATTCAATCTCCCAAGCTCAGTCAATGTGACTAGAACGTATAAATTCTCACAGTTAGTTTTCTCAAAATGAATTTCCTGAACCCGGATCATTCCAAAGTTGTCAGGAGATCACCATGAAGGGCCTCCTAAGGAAGGCCACACAGCGTTATTCCTAGATGAAAACTAGATATCTGCCTCTGCTGAGCAATTTCTGTACTGCACATATCTTAATTACATAATAAAACTACAAAATAAAAGACAGTGAAAGGAAAAAAAAACAATGAATAAAAAAAGGAACATATCAAATGTTTAGGTCATAGATACAGAGATGTGTTTCCTTCTTTTTAGGATCACTTTTAGCTTTGAAATTTTCTACCGTTAATGTTTACTACTTTTACAATCAAACAAAAAATCATTTAACATATTTTGTAAAACTGATACAGCAGGAGTATTGAATTACTTATTTTATACCCTATAGGTGCCATTTTTCTCGCAAGAGCTTTCATATGATAGTCAAAAGCTATAAAATGATTTTGATAGACTATAGGATAAGGGTTGATTTTCATACTTTCATACTTTCTAACTAGGCAAGAGAACATGAACCAACAAATACAAAGATCCTGAGGTATTTGCATTTGTCAAAACTCATCACTTAAAATTTTTGCATTCCACGTAGTAAACAGTACCTCAAAAAAAACCCAAAAACCCAGAAAACAAATATTTAACTCTAATAAATGACACAGATGAAATATTTAGTGCTTCAGTGTACTGATGTCAGCAACTTACTTTTAAAATCATAATAAGTAATACAGGCTAATAGTTCACTAATAGGTGAATAAATATATAATAAAGCAAATACACCAAACAGTTAATAAGTACAGAATCTAAACAGCAGGTATGAATGGCTAATCATTATGTACCCTTACAATTGTTCAGTATGATTTGAAAATCGCACAATAAAATGTTGGGTGAGGGGAGTTAGAAGACATGTACTATGACACAAGAAAATTATCAATATCAGAGTAACAAAATTTGTTCTTATTTTATTGATTCAAACTTTAAACAAGTGCCTCACTAGATAAAGCAACTGGTATCTAGATAGTCAATGATTGTCAAATAAGTACTTAAAATGAATACTTACATTGTGACTGTGACAAAATCCAATTCCATTAATAATCTGAAACAAATACTTTTGAACTACTTGGTCATCTAGTCCATTTGGAAAGAGTTCCAAGTCATCAAGAATCGTGTGGTCAACAAATTCAAAGACTAGGTACCATCGTTTTTTTTTCTTACACACCTCCAACAGATTCACCAAATTTTCATGCCTCAGTTGCTGTTATTAAAAAAATGCAAAATAGTTTTATAAGATCAAATTATTACCTATTAGTCACAATCTAAAATAGATGTTAGTATAAGAGAAACATAAATAAAATGTATACATAATGTAAATTATAAAAGTATATTTTGGTTTTTGAATTACAATTGAAAGACCATATTGCTTCTTTCTCCTCTCAGGGAACACAATAAAGCCAATGAGAAATGCAACACCATTGATGATGAAACTAAGAAGGATCTATGACCGCTAACCACAACAAATGTGATGGGACTACCAAATGGAGTCCATCGCAAACAGGAGTGTGGAAAGACACCAAGAGATCACCTGTGGCTTCAAAGTTGGCAGAGGGAACATTCTCTGAAGTTGGTGAAATAACTGGAAAGAAACGTAAAATCTTTGCTATAATTTTTTTTTTTTGACAGGCAGAGTGGACAGTGAGAGAGAGAGACAGAGAGAAAGGTCTTCCTTTTGCCGTTGGTTCACCCTCCAATGGCCGCCACGGCTGGCGTGCTGATCCGAAGGCAGGAGCCAGGTACTTCTCCTGGTCTCCCATGGGGTGCAGGGCCCAAGGAGTTGGGCCATCCTCCACTGGCTTCCCGGGCCACAGCAGAGAGCTGGCCTGGAAGAGGGGCAACCGGGAAAGAATCCAGCGCCCCGACCGGGACTAGAACCCGGTGTGCCAGCACCGCAGGTGGAGGATTAGCCTAGTGAGCTGCGGCGCCGGCCTCTTTGCTATAATGGGAATGGAACCTCTCTTCTCTTCCCCTCCTCTCCCTCCCCCCTCCTCTCTCCTCTCTACTCTCCCCCTCCCCTCTTCTCTCCTTCAGCGGCACAGCAGGTTAAGCTGCCAACCTCGGCACAGACATCCTATGTGAGGGTGGCTCAAGTCCCAGATACTCCTCTTTCTATCTAGCTCCCTGCAAATACACCTAGGAAAGCAGCAGAGGATGGCCCAATTCCTTAGGCCCCTGCACCCACATTGGAGACCCACATGAAGCTCAAGCCATCACTGCTGCCCTCTAGAGCCTACATTAGTAGGAATCTGGAGTCAGGAACCAAACTTAGGTACTCAGATGTTGGACTCAGCATCTTTTTTTTTTTTTTTTTTAAGATTTATTTATTGATTGAAAAGGCAGAGTTACAGATAGGCAGAGGCAGAGAGAGAGAGGTCTTCCATCTGCTGGTTCACTCGCCAAATGGCCCCAATGGCTGGAGCTGAGCCAATCTGAAGCCATGAGCCAGGAGCTTCCTCTGGGTCACCCACATAGGTGCAGGGGCCCAAGGACTTGGGCCATCCTCCACTGCTTTCCCAGGCCATAGCAGAGAGCTGGATTGGAAGTGAAGCAGCCAAGATTCAAACTGGAGCCCATATGGGCTGCCAGCACTGCAGGCGGTGGCTTTTCCCACTATGCCACAGCTCCAGCCCCAACTCAAGCAGCTTAACCAGCATCTTAACCACGAGGCTAAACACCCATCTCAGTGCTTATATTTTAAAAAGAAGATGACTACCTGCTTTGATGGTAGCAGATAAAGTAACTTTGACCTACCCTCCTATTGAGAATCCTTGAAGTTAAATACATTTTTTACAAAAAGATCTATTTATATATTTGAAGGACAGAAGTACAGAAGAAGAGGAAGAGGGAGAGAGAGAAGGAGAGGGAGAGAGGAAAAGGGAGAGAGAGATCGATGGATCTTCCATTCACTGGTTCACTCCCCAAATAGCTGGGGCTGGGCCAGGCTGAAGCCAGAAGCCTGAAATTCCATCTGGGTCTCCCACATGGGCAGTAGGCCCATGGGTGGTAGGGGCCCAAATACTTGAGCCATCTTCTGCTGCTTTCCCAGGTGCATTAGCAGAAGCGGAGTGGCCAGGACTCAAACTGGCGCTTATCTGAAATGCTGGAATTGCAGGTGGCAATTTAATCTGCTACACCATCAGGCCAGTTCCAAAAGTTCTAAAATTTCTTTGTTAAATCTTCTTAAACGTAAAAAAAAAAAAAAAACAACAAGAGAGCGAATTACTAGGCCAAAATCAGAAACATGAGAATCCAGAAAGCTAACCTCAGGAATTTGCTATGAAGTTACAAGTGTGACACTCAGCTTTGATTTTCATGGTCCCACAGGGTTCAAACAGAAAAGTTCAAAATCCAAAAGCCTTCTAAAGTTTGGGTCTCTGAGAATCCACCCCTGTGTTAAACTAGGATCCCAAGAACTACACGCTCCAGAGCAAAAATGGGTAGAAATAAACCAGGCATCGCTAGACTTCACATCATGAAATGGTTCAAGAAACCTCAAACCTTGAACATAGATTAAAACATTTGGTTGAGGACATCCCCATACAACAGGCAGAAGCAAATGAGTATCATCTCTGGAGGAATATAACTTAGCATCCAAATATTTTTTTTAAAGAATTATTTTATTTATTTGAAAGACAGAGTTACAGAGAGAGGTAGAGCAGGCTGGAGAGGTCTTTCATCCTGGTGGTTCACTCCCCAAATGGCCACAATAGCTGGAGCTGAGCTGATTGGAAGCCAGGAGCCAGGAGCTTCTTCCGGGTATCCCACGCGGGTGCAGGGGCCCAAGGACTTGGGCCATCTTCTACTGCTTTCCCAGGCCATAGCAGAGAGCTGTATCAGAAGAGGAGCAGCCAGGACTAGAACCGGCGCCCATATGGGATGCTAGCACTGTAGGCTGGGGCTTTAACCTGCTGTGCCACAGCACCGGCCCCGCATCCAAATATTTCTAAAAATAACTTCAAAAACAATATTCAATACAAGAAGATAATGAGAAGAACAGGAAAACAAGACACCATAAGCAAGGACTTTTAACTTAAGGAAGTCCTGGGCTGATAGCATGCCTGTATCCACCAACAACCAGAACTGGGAAACTTTCAATGTAAGCAATGTTTTTCCCTTTATTCATTTGAGAGGCAGAGCAAGGCATACAGAGAGAAAAAGTGGGAGCTCCCACCAACTGGTTCACTCTCCAAATGTCTGCAATAGCCAAAGCTGGGCAGGGATGAAGCTAGGCACTCAATCCAGGTCTGTCATGCGGGTGGCAAGAACCCAACTACTTGAGCCATTACTGCTGCCTCCTATAGTCTGCATTTACCAGGAAGCTAGAATCAGTAGCCACAAACAGGTTTCAAATCGAAGCACTACAATTTGGAATGTGGGCATCCCAACTAATGGTTTAATTGCTAGGCCAGAGGACCACCCAGCCCAAATATAAATGTTAATTAGTAAAGGCATGGCCAGCGCCGCGGCTCACTAGGCTAATCCTCTGCCTTGTGGCGCCGGCACACCGGGTTCTAGTCCCGGTCGGGGCGCCGGATTCTGTCCCGGTTGCCCCTCTTCCAGGCCAGCTCTCTGCTGTGGCCAGGGAGTGCAGTGGAGGATGGCCCAAGTGCTTGGGTCCTGCACCCCATGGGAGACCAGGAGAAGCACCTGGCTCCTGGCTTCGAATCAGCACTGCATGCCGGCCACGGCAGCCATTGGAGGGTGAACCAACGGCAAAAGGAAGACCTTTCTCTCTGTCTCTCTCTCTCACTGTCCACTCTACCTGTCAAAAAAAAATTAGTAAAAGCAGTTTATTACTAAAGGGGACAAAAGACAACTACCTAAGATAAATTGCAAATAAGAGCAGCTACTGCTTTTAGAGCTGAGGGAAAGTACACAAGAAGGAACTAAAAATTTGAAGAATTCCCAACCAGCATCAAGAACTCAATCTTTCTTGGAAAGGGCATGGTTGTCAAAGAGATGTACAATTGCCAATGGTGAAGATCTTTGCCAGAGGATGCAGGCCAAAGATTATAAAGTGGCCAGCCAGTTGGCAGACAAACTTACCAGAAAATGCAGAGTCCATAGTTGGTCCATGCTGCAGTGCACAACCAGACCTCCCACATGGTGATCTGCCTCCAGCTATGCCAGGAAGAAAGCACACCAGTCCTGGAAGAAAAGCCTCTTCCTTTTGCTAAGTACTCAAAATGTCCTTCCATGCCCTCTATTTATTGACAAAACCCCAAATCCAACCAGTTGGCAATAGAGAAATATTTGAAATCTCCACAAAGCAGGTCAAAAAGAGTTATTTGGAACTAACAGCCAAAAATATGACTACTGGCATAGTGCATGTGAACACGGAATAAGAAAATAAAAATCTCTAAAGGAAAAATACATACATCCGAGCCTCAAATTACTCCTAAAAATAATTTTTTTTTTGACAGGCAGAATTAGACAGTGAGATAGAGACAGAGAGAAAGGCCTTCCCTCCGTTGGTTCACCCCCCAAATGGCCGCCACGGCCGGCACTGCGCCGATCTGAAGCCAGGAGTCAGCTGCTTCCTCCTGGTCTCCCATGCGGGTGCAGGGCCCAAGCATTTGGGCCATCCTCCACTGCCTTCCTGGGCCACAGCAGAGAGCTGGACCGGAAGAAGAGCAACCAGGACAGAACTAGCACCCCAACCAGGACTAGAACCCGGAGTGCCGGCACCGCAGGCGGAGGATTAGCCTAGTGAGCCGCAGTGCCGGCCAAAAAAGTAATGTTTTAAATATAATGTCCAGAACAAAATCAAAGACAAGAAGACATACAAAGAAGTAAGATACTATAAGTAAGAAACACCAGAAAATATAGACAATCTAACAGTTGACGAATGACTTTAGAGATTAGAATTATCACAAGAAGGTACTACAAAAATAAAAAGCTAGCCTCAAAAATTTGAGTGAACTATAAAAAGTGACTAGCAGATTTGAACCCAACTAAAAATTCTAGAATGGAAAAGTACAATAATCTGTTTACAATAATAACAGACCACATAATTTATAACAACTCTCCCACTGATTATAAATAGAAAAGCTACTCAAAATACATAAAACAACTACTTGAAGGGACCAGAGAGATAAGATGGTTTAAAAAAACATCTAGGCTAGGATCTAAAAGAAGACAGAAACCCAGGGAACTGAGCCAGGCAACAGGGGCAGTCTTTCTCTTAACCCTAGAAATATA